ACCAATTGATTGATGTAGACTTAAGAATTATCTTAAGTATTGTTCACTTATAAGATAGCCAATATTTCAATAAATAGATAACCCTTACCAAGCAAAAATCAATCCAACATTACCAACCAATCAGAAATTTAACAATATATTAAGTTACAGTTTTATAAAAAATAAGTTAAAAAAGTATTGGTATGATCACTTATCATGGTGAATATTAAAATGGCTAAAAAATCAGTCTATGGGATACTTTTTACTATAATTTACTTTAATTAGTTGTGGAGGAGTTTTTGATGAAAGACAAATTTAATAAATGGAAAATGGATTGAGATTAAAGATAGCTTTTGGAAAATGTGAATTTTTTATAATAAACCTTTGTAGAATTACTTAAGTCGCTTATAATGGCTAATATGTGAATGTAAAGATAATTGGTAAATGGGACATCTAATATAGAGATGATTTAAAAAATTAATTTGAATATATGTAAATTCTAATAATTAAATAATAGTGGTGGAGATATATTAATTTAAGTATCTTTTCATTTTTTTAATATCATTAGAATATATTAGTTTTATTTTAGTTTTTGAAGAACTAAATTTTTAATTCTGTTAACCTCGTGTTATTAATGTATTCAATTCAAATTTTATTCAACTTATTGGAAAATATGAATAAGAAAAACATAATTAGACTTTGTAATGCTACATCAAAGCAAAATAAGATTCGATATAATATTATTAATTGAGCATATTCAGACTTCAAATAATTACTAATTTAATTTAATTTTTATAATTATAATTGTTTTATTATGTTTTCTACTAATAGCATATTTTTTTTAGAATAATAAAATAGACACTAAAAATTTAAATTAAAATAGCTTTGAAATTGAATTTTAAAAAGGAGAGGTAAAGTTTTTGAGAGATGAGAATTAGTACTCATATAGTAAAGGAGTGTATAATAAAATAAATTATATGATTCTTCTTTATCTATCTTAAAAGTATTTTTTTGGAATGCTATAAGTCTGCTCATAAAATAAGTTATTTAATTATAAGAAAAATAAACTAATGCATATTTTATTAATTGCTTACTAAAATAAAACATAATAATTTTTTTATTTTAAATTGAAAATGTGTAATTTTTCTTTTAAGTTAGTAGAATATTATTATTAAAATAAAATTTCCATAATTCATTTTTTGTATTCATGGATTAATGGCTAGCTAGATATTAACTAACTTTATTGGATTTAAATATTGCTAAATTTAAAAAATCTAAATATCGTAGCAGAATATTGCTATTCACAATCCTCGAAAGGAATAATTGTCCATCAATTCAATCATAGTACAAAATATTAGTATATGACTTAAAAAAATAATTCATATTGAACTCCGTTTATTTATTTAAACAAAAGAATATTTTAATCTTTCAATTATTTTAAATAAAAGACAAATTAATAATTATATTATTAATCAATATCAATAATGCTCAACATTATAATATATAACAATTTAATCCCAAAAAATTTTACGAGATACTCAAATTATTTTAGTTTAATTTATTTATTTTTTTAATATGATTATGGTCTTTATCCAAAGTATCTAGCAAGAATAGTATTTTTTCGTTTAGGATTAATTTATGAAATTGATGAGTATAGTAATTATTATTATTTTAGATTAATTTCTTAATTTCTATGATAGTATTTTTTGAGACAATTTAATAACAAAATATTTAAACATTTTAATAAACTATTTAGTATTATAGGTTGTAAAAATTGTGCTAAGATATAATGTCTATTACTTTGCAAATATTTAAAAAAAATATGATAATTAAATTAATAAAATGATTTTGTTTTAATTTTCAATTTACTATTTTAATAATTATTCATCAAATATTTAGTGGAAATTATAAGAATGATAGCAATTATACAATTTAAAAAGACTTTTAAACTCTAAAATCACTATTTAGACATTTCAAAAGTGAATACCAATTATTACTTCCTATTTTGCAACTTATTTAAATATGTTTAAGTTAAAAAATATGAAGGCATAAATTAGAAAAAATTGTTGTCAACATGTTATCAAACAATTAAGTAACAATTTAAGATTCTAAATTTTTAACCAATAATCTTAATATCAATTTATAGTTTAAAATAATGTAATATACTGCTTTCAAAACGAATTTATTTGGGAAAAGTATTAACACTAAATGTAGGAATAAATAATAATTATTAAATGCATTACTAAGAGTAAGACAGTGATGGTGAAAATATGACCTTTATTATCAGATATTAAATACATTAAAGTTCAAGTTAGACCTTAGAGAATTTGAAAGCTATAACCTTTTGTGATGGCAAACTAGTTTCTAAAACTTTAAAAGTGAATGAATATTTATTTCTCAGAATTTATTCATAAATAGGAAAACCTGTTCTTATTATTTCAAAGAACTTCTTAAGCACTAGCAAAGATTTTAGTCTGATACGATCGGAGAGAAGGTACTTAAAAAGAGAAAGCAATAAGATATATATTATAAGCAATTTAGATATATAAAGAGATGTAATCAATAGAAATAATAGAAAAATGAAGAGGAAATATTTTTATTAAAAGCGACAGTTATTTATAAGAATTTAATTATTTTATTTGTGTAAAGTATTAGCTTGAATAAATTTAGTGGTAAATGTGGATAGTAAAGGAAATTTTGATGTAGGAGCGAATATTTTATTGGAAGCAGAAGGAGAACAAAAAGAATAGTTTAGGAATAATCAAGGGTTATAAGGTAATTGGCTATAGAATAAAAATGAATTATAAAATTATATAGTTTTAAAAAATTTAGAAAGCAAATGAG